CACTTTTCCTTCGTATTAAATGCTTAATTAAATTATAAATTCCCTTTTTAGATCCGGCATGCACTCGTTTCCCATTATGTTCTTGTATTTTAATTTATTAATATATTTGGTTTTAAAAAAAAAGCAACTACATGTATGGGTGTTTAAAAAATTGTAAGGAAATTAATATATTACCTAATAATTAAAGTATTTTATCGTAAATATAATTAATCTATCACCATTATCATCTGATCAGGGTGGTCATGTGTGCTTCGCAAGACTGAGCAATTATTCGTATCGATAGAAGCCAAGTGTGTCGTAAAACAGCACGACGGGGGTATATCAATGTAAACAAGTTTCACACCTTCTTTTGTTTACAAAGAATCAAAATAATCAACTGGAATTTCATGGATTAATATAATATTTAAATCAGAGACATCAATAAATATATAATGTCTCTGGTAAAAAGACCGCATATTCTGACTTGAAATGTAAACATATATGTATGTCTTACGATTAAATCCTGCTATATCATATACGAAGGTATAAAAGAAAGAAAAAAATTAAAATTAACAGCCAATATTAAATATAAATAGAGAGTTTAATAGGGTGCTTGGTTGCCCGGAACGTTTTTTACGGCCGGAACCAATCTTACGCGGGTCGGAACGTTTATTATGGCCCGGAACCAATATTATAGGTATTTAGCGTTCCGGCCGGAACGCCAAGTTACCCGGAACGTATATTATGCGACACCGGTCCTTCGGATCATGAGACCTATAAACTGAGACCCCGTTTACATAGGTGATGGCACGAAAAAGATCCCTTCCTGCTCAATGGCCCTGAGTGCCGAGTATAGGTCAAAATTTGTAGCCCTCCACTAGTTAGTGGTGGCGTCTCCATATGAGTGAAAAATTCTCGAGAGGGACGTTAAACAACATACAGTCAATCTTCTCTACAATCATGACAAGGAGCACACATTTTTTAAAGTGATCAACAGGGAATGCTTATTACCCCACCATGGACATAACCCTAGCTGTCTCTTACGTTTTAAAGATGGTCCATGTCCACACAACTTTTTTTTTTAACTTGATTACTTAAAGTTATGCCACTTTAGAAATAAGAGGAGTTCACGATAGAAAAGCTGAACTCATCACGTTCTCAAAAGAGCGCAAGTGAGTTAAGGCAAGGTATGGGCGTTTCTATACAAATGAGTCAATAAAATGCATAAGTTGTTTATTTCATATACAGAGAAAGTTCAAATTTATTTTCTTATTCATACTTAGCACCCAAGGCATGGCAAAGCTAGTAATTATGACGTCATTGTTCTTTCCCATTAGAGGTAATAAAACACATCAACAAAATAGCGTCGGCGCAAGGGCATATCCTATTTAATTTAAAATAAATAATATGTAATATCAAGGAGAATATACTTAAAATTGATAAAATTGCTTCACAAATCCTATGCACTTTCTCATTTGATAAAAATTTTAGGTAATTACACCGGACTGTGAATTTTACCCAGTTTCAACTTAGAGCTGTACGAATAGTAACTAAACAATTGCAGTGTCAAAATTTGTGCAGCAATATCTGAAATCTTTGGAATATCCTGCGTCTATTTATACCTTGTTTCTGTAAAACTAAGTGTGGTATGCCCTTGCGCCGAAGCGATTTTGTTTATGTTCCTTATAAACTTGTGTAGTAGAGGCCGATGACGTCATAATGTGCACTGGCTACCACATATCGTAGGTACCAAGAATGTATTAGAAACAAGTCTTAACTTTTAATATGCTGTTGGTAAAGCCCTTATGGGTTTTAATTAGATTTTTTGCATAGAAACCTGAATACGTAGCTTAACTCACTTGCGAGCGCGTCAAAGTCCAATTTTGCCCCGCAAGCTATTGTCCTTTCTGACATCCTTCATGTTGCAGTAAAATATGTCAGAAAGAACACTATATTATAATTGTTTGTATTTTACTTTTAAAATGCATTTCTTTTGGAAAATCATTAAGGTTCAAGCAAAAATTTATATGAGTGAGCAGAGGGTTTATGAACCTTAATTCTTATCAGTTTTAACTATAATCGTCAAACATGGTCACCCATAAGTGTAAGATTTTATTTAGTTTAATTTCCTTTTTAAATTTTTTTCTGTTTCAACATTGAAATTTTTGTTTTATTTTTATCTTGAATGAATTTTTGGTGGGGAATAATTTAATTTTTTAAAATATATTTTAAACTTTTTTTTCATTCACGAGAAACAATCAAACATTCACACAATGTATCGGAATCTACACTCCTTTTTAATTCACGATAATTTTAACTTTAAAATTAAGCATGCGTATATTTATACTTACCAGTATTTTTATTTATTAGGAAAATCCCAACGGCAAGATACACCATGCCTTGTGTCATTAAAGTTCTCATTGTAACACACTCAGATAAAGATTAAAACAATCCTCAGGTCACCTACTGTTTTTACATACTGATTAAACTTTTTTTTTGAAGAAAAAGGTTGCATAATTTTAATAAACATAATAAATAAAACACCTTTTTTCATTTTAAAAAGTTACCAGTAAAATGATGCCTCACATGGTTTATTATTTTATCTTTATAGGATTTCACCAAGCATCTGTTATTCATCCGATTCATTTTTTATTATAGATGATATTTATGATATTTATGTAGTTTCATTAATATCGATGAATTTTAAAATATTCTAGAGCGAAGTGTATCTTTTGAAAGACAAACAGATGGAAGATTCGCTAATTATTAATAGCTAAAACTGTATACTACAATCGGGAACGGTAAACTCTTGAATATTTGATGGGATGCGTGGATGGGTGTTACAAATCGAAAACATAAAATTTTAATGTTTCCTCATAAAACTGTGCTTAACTAATTTAACTGAGGATATGTCATTAATTTTTGAGCAGTCATTGAAAAATCCTCAAAGATGAAAGATGTTTTTATTTGTATTTTATTGACAATGCATACAAAATATATGAAAACCTTTGTATAAATTACGCAGAGACTTTTATAGTCTATATACAACGATAAAAGAGTCGGTTCCACGTTACGGTGAGGCGAGAGAAAAAAATGACGTATCACTTTGGAGGAAATTATCAGTTAATATCGACTCATTCATGCCGTATTATCATTGAAGTCTGAATGTTCACCTTACGTTAAACACCATTTATATGGTAAAATATGGTCACCTATCTCAAGCTGCATCAAAACAAACTTGAGATGCTGTCATTCGACCGCAAAAAGGTGTTTGACTCTATATATAACCACCTCATATTTATGTTTCCAAGTAACAAGATTCAATAATTATGTTGAGTTTTCACTTAAACACTCAAAGGAATTTTCAATAAATTTGAAATGACAGATTTACCAAAATCAGGAAAATCAAAACGTATAACACTTTCAAGACTTTCCGGATCATTACAAGAACTCGTGGCGGATGTCGGTCGATAGGGAATGCATTCTCCTTCATGGCACCTGATCCAACATGTAATGATTTCAGAGCCCCACGCTTATATTCTACTCCAGATCTGTACAGTTAAAAGACATTACAGAGTCTGTCACATCAAATTCATATTTGGATGTTTTACTCGCAGTATTTCTGTCATGCTGTAAATTTTGAATTTACCGGGTTGCAGTAAATACTAAATTTACAACATGAAAACTACATGTAGTTGTATTGTATTTACTGGTTGTCATGTTGTAAATTTTGTATTTACTACCACCCGGTAAATTCAAGATTTACAACATGACAGTTCGATGGCCGACAGCGGACGCCACATTCTGAATGAAATATTGTTATGTGTACAGTGCTTTCGTCAATTTCGTAGACAAATTACAGCTAAACTGGTAATGCTGTGTGAGCATGTATAGTTTAACTTTTAAGAATGACAATATCCACCAGCGAAAAAAAATTAAAATTCTTCCCTGTGATATAAAATTAAGATACATGTATTTAAAGCAAGTGACTTGAAAGAGATGAGATACATTTGTATGATTTTTCATTCTTGACTTAAACGTTAAATCTTTACTTTTTTTAACCTTGAATATTCAAATTTCCCAAAACGATTTTGTTATCTTATACTTTTGTGTATTAATCTATCTTTTGCTTAGAAAGTTTACACTTAGTTAACAATTCTGAGGCCTAGGTTCAGTATCATTTTACGTCTTTTGATATTTTAAAATATACTTCAAACGTCTAAAATCCAACTTTTTAGATTTTTTGAAATTTAGAATTTTTATTTAAACATTCAAATTTTAAATATTAACCAAAACAAGTTTTTAGAACTTTACCTGAAATATCCAAAATAAAAAAAATCCAAAGGTGTTTTGAATTTTGACACATTGTCAAATATGCTTTTGGTAGAAGAAAATTTTTTTTTTTTTGATATTTAGAATTTTGAAGTGATATAAATAAAGTTTCAATATTCAGATCAGATCGGGTTTGGAAGTGAATAGGTTGGATATTTGAAGAAAAAATCTAAAATCTCAAAGCGTATTGAATATTTGAATGTTTGATTTAAAATTATCAATTCTCAAAAAATCTTAAACGTTTTGAAAGTTGAAATTTAGAGGTTTGAAGTAAATTGTAAAATATCAAAATCGTTTCTGGAAATTTTAACATTTAAAGTAAAATCTAAAAAGGTTACATTTTATTACATTCTTAGAAATCGGAAGATTTCTAAAATTTTCAACTAATAAAAATTAAATTTCAACATGCGAAATCATTTTGAGCTATTTTATCTAATGTTTTGAAATTTTAAAACTTTTAATGATTTTAGAATTTTGAATTAAAAGTGTTACACGAACCATAAAACCAGGCTTTTCTTCCAAACAATTGAAAATAAAAATATTTTGACGTCACCAAATACACAATACTTTTGCATATTATGACGTCATGGACAAATAGCGGGTGTACATATTCTGTGACATCACAATAGGAAGAATATCAACAAAAACTTCGTTGATATCCATATAGTCCTTTACGCTCTGAAACCATCATGGGTCTATTTCAGAGTTGTTTTGCCGAAAATAACAAAGTGGGCGTGATGAAGGAAGAGATGGAGGTGTACGAAAAAGTACGACGAGCAATGGTTACAAAGGAAGTAACAAAAAAGAAAGGCGGTGTGGCCTCTGATCTCACCTTCGTTTCAGAGGAAACCCCAAAGATGCCCCCTGCCAGATTGCTGGAGAACAAAAAGAAAGATTTTGAAAAATGGAGAAGTATGTGCATGAATATCAATTACCAAAACAATATCAACTAATTCCTGTACATTTGTAAAGGTTGTTAAATGCTGTAATATTATTGATAATAATATGTTTTATGCATACATATGTAATTTTCCATTTCTGTGGTTAGAATAGTGATTGTAGTATATTTTATGTATATCTCAGGTTTCAGAGATAGGACGTTATGTAATGCATAGTCTCAGGTTTTGGGGCTTTGCGTTGATTAGTCGTTAGCTAATGTCAGAGATATCACGTGATTGTTATCGCTGGTGGATGCTGCAAGTGTTTGTACACACCATTTTTATGACCCCGTAAACGAAGTTTCGGGGGTATATAGTTTTTGTCGTGTCCGTCTGTCTCTCTGTTTGTCCGCAAAAACTTTAACCTTGCCCATAACTTTTGATCTAGTGGAGCTATGGCATTCATATTTCACATGTGTATTCCTTGTGACAAGACCTTTCTTTGGGTACCACTAAATTTGACCCTTTGACCTTGACCTTGGAGTTTGACCCACTTTTACACAAAAATTTTGAACTTTTGCTTTGGCCATATCTTTTGAACAGTAGATACCAGGACATTTATACTTGATATGTATATTGTTTGTGAAAAGACCTTTCATTGGATTTCAACAACCTTGACCTTTTGACCTTGACCTTAGAGATTTCTGTACTTACAAAAAAACTTTAACCTTGGCTATAACTTTTAAACTAAAAGTGCTAGGGCTTTCATACTTCACACATGTAATTCTTGTGAAAAGCCGCTTCATTTGATACCAAGAAACTTGACCTTGAAGTTTGACTTATTTTAAAAATACAACCTTGACCATAATTTTTGAAGGGTTAGTACTAGGGCTTTCATACTTCACAAATTCAATTCTTGTGACAAGACCTCTCATTTGATACCAAAATCTTTGACCTTGACCTTGGAGTTAGACCCACTTTTACACAAAAATTGCAAATTTTTACTTTGGCCATAATTTTTTTACGGTAGTTACTAGGAATTTCATTTTTCAAATATCACTTCTTTTTGGCAAGACCTTTCATTTAAAACCATGAATTTTGACCTTGACCTTGGAGATTTCCGTACTTACGAAAAAATTTAACCTTGGTCATAACTTTGAACGGTAAGGGCTAGGGCTTTCATACTTCAAATATGTAATCCTTGTGAGAAGACCTTTCATTGGATATCATCAACTTTGACCTTGACCTTGGAGTTTGACCTTCTTTTTACAAATTTTCACCTTGTCCATATCTATTCAATTGAACAGTAAGGACCAGCGCTTTCATACTTACCATATGTAATCTTTGAGACAAGGCCTTTCATTAGAAACCAACAACGTTGACCCTTTGACCTTGACCCAGAGTTTGTCCTTCATTTAAAAATGTTTACCTTGGTCATAACCCTTGAACAGGTGGTGCTAGGATTTTTTATTTCACATATGTATTTCTTCTGAAAAGGCCTTACTTAAGATACCAATATAATTGATCAGCATTAGAGAATGCTTAATTAACCTTCGCTTTGTTGCCATAGGGGGGCATCAGTGTTTCATAAACACATCTTGTTTGTAAGAAAAACAGTTGCCACCTTATTTTTCAGCTTAAATGTTTGATATATTTGTGTTTTTTGAGTATTGTCCTGATGTTATTTTAAGTTTTGGGAGATCCATAACAAGTTGTAGATACAAATTGTAGAAAGTCATAGGATCTCCCAAATTTCATGTGTTTCATATGTGTCATTAATAAATGACATATTTACAACAATACTCATTCTTGGTTTTAATTCAATCTGAAAAATAACAGAGCTGCGGGAAACTTGGTTTTAAATTTGCACTTTTATCATATGGAAGGCATAAATGTATTTGTCTGCAAGATAATTACTGTCATAGATTTATTTATGAAATATACCGTAATTATTTAAGATGATCTTAATTCCTGATAAATAGTAATGTTGTAACATAAAAGAAATGATTATAATTGACTTTAATTTGTTTGACAGAATCTCAGGAAAAGTCCCAAGCCGAAAAGCATGGTCGGGCCCAACAGAACCGTGAGGAAGCCCGTGTCCAGAAAGAAATCGAAGTCGCCCATAAGGAGTTGGAGAGGATTGAGAAATATTTCAACGTCACTGCCGAATAGAATGGATCTGCATGTCCTCTTCATGTTTATATATGTTTGTCTAAAATTAAACTGAATTAAATTGTTAATTTGAAGTTTGTAATTTAAACAAACCTTGGAACCAAAGCCAAAGAGGATACACCAAAACTCTTTCTCTGTATGTTCATGTGGCTTTCTAAACACCTAAATTTTTTCTTTGGATTTGTTTTTGCAATATGGGCCATGGAGACAGATATGAGAATAGCACTGCGAACAAAATTCGGTTAACTATTCCAATTTGTTCAATGTATTTCGGAACTTTTGGACTCCAGATACCCTTAGGAATGGGTATTGCGCTGGAACATCTATCCCTCCATTGATCAGGGACCGGGGATCGCTTCCCATGCAGTCTAAAATTGTCAGAAATTGTAAATGATACATCGTTTTAGTGACGCTAAAATCTTTGTTGTTCATTCTGTTTGTCAAATGTTCAATAAACTAATCAAGTTGCAAACCCTGTTCCGTCTATTTTCTTTCTTTTTTTTCTTTATATTTATTATATCATATGTATATACGTACCCCTCGCTTAAAAGTGAGATTATATAGTGATCGGAATGTCCGTCTCTACGTCCATCCCTCTGTTACCTTTAGGGTACCCATCTCTTATCCGCAGCTCCTCTTATACCACTTAATGAAATTTGATGAGACTTTAACAGATTTTGTGTTACATTGTGCATCTCCTTTTTTACTTTGGGTTTCCCATTGCAAAACATTGATATGGCCATTTTTTTCTATAACATTGAAGGGAACCTATCTCTTATCCGCTAATCCTCCTATAACACTGAATAAAATTTAATGATGCTTTCATAGACTCTTTTCTCTATAACGCCATTGTGAACCTCCTGTTTTACTTTTTGATCTGACACTTATTTCGGGTCTCCCATTGCAAAACATGGACTTTGCCATTATAATCATATGGGAGGCAGGGGTATTATTTAGTAATCTGAGTACTCACGATATCTCTAGTTAACTGTAATTATAATTAAACTCCCCGCTTGAGAGAGCTGGATCTGTTTATAGTGATCGGAATGTCTGTCCGTCTGTTACGGTTTGAAATACCCATCTCTGATCCGCAACTCTTCATATGCATGCCACTGAATGAAATTTAAAGACTTTCAATGAATTTTTCTTACGTAGAGCCATTGTGCACCTCCTATTTTACTTTTTGATCGGACACGTATATCGGGTTTTCCATAGTAAAACACGTTGCGTCTATACAAGTGTTACGGTGTAAAATACGACATTTTCGGACTTATTATAAAATACTTTGTAAATTAACTTTTAGGACTTTGTGTAAATTGTCAAAACTTTTCTTATATTTCGGCAAATGTGATAAATTATATAAATTCCACACTACCTGAATCCCACCCGAGGCAAAGTGAGAGATGGACAGTTAATCCCTTAATTGACTTCTATGGCACGCCAAATTCACAAAAATGAGATAATCATAGTTTCACAATTGATAAACTAGGTTTATCGAGTGTAAACTATAGTTTACAAACTGTAAACTGTAGTTAACGATTCGTTAAGTATAGTTTTTATCTGTAAAACTGTATTTAACGTTTGTTAACTATAGTTTACGAATGCTAATCTAAGTTTATCTGTCTGTAATAAGCGTTAACAATAGATTTTGTTGATAAACATAGATTCACGTTTGTAAACTATAGTTTACAATCGTAAACTGTAGTTAAGAGTTGTTAATCATAGTTTCACAAATCGTGAAACTATATTTATCAGATCGTTAACTATAGTTAACGGTTTGTAAACTATAGTTTACAAATCGTGAAACTGTTTTTATCAGATAATCTATGTTTTGCAATCGCAAATGGTTGTTTTCGGTGTTAAGTATAGTTTACGGTTGTGAAACATAGATTATCGCGTTAACTATGGTTTACAGATGTAAAATATAGATTAACGTTGTTAACTATAGTTTACAATCCGTAAACTATAGTTTACAACCGATAAACCTAGTTTATCGGTTGTGAAACTATGATTAGCTCATTTTTGTGAATTTGGCGTGCCATAGACTTCTGTTTATATTTATTGACACTTAACCTTTCATCTTTAATTCTGTTATACACATGCTGTCATCATTCGCTCAATAATTGTTTGATACTTGATTTCTATATACTTTTGTTAATCCCTTTATCTTACTCTTTCTTTGTTCAGTACTGTAAATCACTTTTTATTCGCGAGAACTTTATTTTCGCGTAATTACGCGAGATAGTGTGCTCGTGAAAATTTGATTCTCGCATATAATAGTATTCCATAAGATTATATGCCGCAATAACCACAATTCGTGAAAATTTTGTCTCGCAATCAAGAGTCAATGACTATCTCGCGAAAATAAGGTGTCGCAAAAATTTAGTGATCTACAGTATGTAAAGTTTGTTATTGAAAATTACAGTCAGTTGGAATCAGACCTTCGGTGCTGATAGTTCCCAAGCTCATGTAAAAGTTTAATCCTTGCTCATTCCTTATATAAACTACAAATTGTAACTCGTGTTTGTGTCTTGAGGTTTAAAAGAATCTGGGTTCAACAATAAGAGGAAAGCCCACGGTTGACCTAGAATCAGTATATAGACGGACAAATTCATCCCGTAAAACAAGCTATTATTTTGGCCATGGTTTGCGAAAAACATGGACTTTTTCATTATGTTATAATCAGATAGGAAGCGGGGGTATTATTTATTGAGCTCAGTGCTCACAGTATACTTCTACTTTATTTATTTAATTGATTAAATTATCTGCTTAACGTTTTATTTATTAATTCTGTAAGAGTTTGCGATCTTCAGAAACATCATGACCGTGTTATTTACAATAACTTTTAATGTTTTGTTGAGATGATACTTCTGTTATCATGTAAACCTGGAAATGAACAGGAAATACCAATACGGTATAGTGATCGATATCAATATCAGTCTGCGCCGGTGTTTTGATGACCTACCTTAATTCAGATGCATGGGTGAGAGTCTTAATTATGTTCCCCAAACGAAGTTGGGGAACATATTGTTTTTACTCTGTTTCTTATTATTATTATTAAGGTCTTCCGTCTCCAACGGAAGACCTTATTGTTTTCGTTCGGTTTCTTTTTCTCTATTATTATTATTAAGGTCTTCCGTCTCCAACGGAAGACCTTCTTGTTTTCGTTCGGTTTCTTTTTCCCTATTATTAAGGTCTTCCGTCTTCAGCGGAAGACCTTCTTGTTATTCTTAGGTTTCTTTTCCACTATTTTTATTATTATTATTATTATTGTTTTTTTTCTTACCGATTTTGTGCACGCGATTTCTCGAAAACGGCTGGATAGATTTTCATGAAACTTTCAGGACTGATAGAACATCAAACAAACCTGATATATAATTTTTTGTTTTGATGACGTCACTTCCGGTTTTGAGATTTCCGCGATTTAGTGATTTTCAGGGGGTCTCATTGTCCATCATTTTTCTCGAAAATGCCTTAAGACAGAAACATGAGATTTTCAGCGATGATAGAGCAACGTGTGCTCTTTTGTCACACACCACTCTCTTTCTCCGGAAGTGCCGCACGTCGGCGCTCGCTATGGGCCGAAAAAAGTCCTATTGCGAATTTCAAAATTTTTGACACTTTTTCTACGATATCTTTTTACCTGGAAATATTTTGTTAAAACATGTAGAACAAAAAAAGTATAGAATTCCAATATCTTTCAACTGATACCTCGGAAAAAGGGCTGGCCCCTTAAATCAGGCGCTGAGAGGGGCCGAAAGTTTTTTCTTTATATCTCAAAAAGTGTTTAGAATTTGTAATACGTCAAAGAAGCAAAGTTGTTCAAAATTTCAAGCTTAATCTTTTGAAGTCGTCAAAATACGTCCGGTGACGTCACTTCCGGCCAAACCGGAAGTAGTCGGAAAACGCGTTTTTTTGCCGTTCTCGACAAGATTTTGGGTTACATTTGTCTCTGGGAGCATAAAAAGTAATTTTTCCGTCCGTCGTCGTCACTTCCGGTCAAACCAGAAGTAGCAAAAAATGGCTTTTTTTGAAGGTTTTGATGCAAAATTGAAATTATAAAGTCACTGGAGACTACTTAGCTCATTGCTTTATTTTGTTCCGTCATTTCCGGCACTTCCGGTCAAAACCTGACGGAAGACCTACTCGTTGCTTTGCAACGAGCTTTGCTCTAGTTATTATTATTATTCTTCCAACCGATTTTGTGCAAGCGATTTCTCAGAGATGGCTCGTCCGATTTCTACCAAACTTTCAGATCTGAAAGATATTCAATTGATCTTGATAGGTTTTTTTCCTTTTTGATTATCTCACTTCCGGTCGTGAGATATGGACGATTTTCTGATTTTCAGAGGGTCGGCTTGTCCGGGAAACTCCTCCGAAACGACTTAAGATATGGACTTGAGATTTTTAGGGAAAATAGAGGAAGGTTTGGTGAGTTGTAATTGGGTCTCCAAATCTTTCTAGCGCAAAAGGCACCGAAGTTCGGTAGGGCCGAAAAAATGTCTCAGAAATATCTCACAAAATTTGACGCATTTTGTCTCATATCTTCACTCCTGTTCATAATTTGTTAAAACATATTGAAGACAAAATATTCAATATCGCAAGACCTTTCATTTGATATAAAAAAAAATAGGGCTGACCCTTCAAATTAGGGGCTAAGAGGGGCCAAAAGTTTTTTATCTATAACTCTCTAATGATCAATTCTTTGTTATACATTATTGATCAAAAGTATTCATCTTAACAATTAGATTATAACTATCTAAGTTGTTTGAAAATTGGCTTATCTGAATTCTAGATATTAATATTTGAAAATCTGAAGCGGGCCCCAGATGGCGGCTGTCTTTGTCAATTCCGCCATTTCGCAATTGGGTTTTATGGAGGCAGCTGAGCGTTTGATTAAACCATTCTGACATACGAATGCATGAAATGTAAACAAAACTACTTGGACTTTCACGTAGTAGTACGTTGCAATTCAGTGTCGATCTTAACACTTAATTTCC